CTATCGAAATCACGAGTCTTCTCCTATCCCCCCTCTCTCTCTCCGGGAGCCCTCTCGTCCTAGCTCCCCCACCAGCGGCGTCGTCGTTACATCCCGGCAGGTCGACGTTACCGATAGACCTGAATTTCGTTCACGTACTTCCAGACGATTGGCTGGAATGCTATTCTTAGCCAGAAGCAACGGTGTTCGGGCCCCACCAGCCCGCGCGCTGATGTAACCTTGCCTTTCCGCGGTACACCCACGAAATTTATTCAGCCACCGGGACACCGGCCCCGCCGCGGAGGCGTCAATGCTCGCTAAACGGGCGCGACACGGGCGACCGGCCGGGGTACCTGCCGTGCCGAATAATCCGCGCCGATACGCTGAATCATTTCCGATGCGCGCGTGACCGAGATTACCTCGGGGACACCGGGCTGTATTATTTTTGCGGTCGGTTTTTCGTCGACAGGTTTTTCTCGGCGGTGCCGACGCGTTTGATGCTGTTCTAGTTCGAGAGCACCGTGGATCTCGGTGAGAAACCTGATTTCGGTTAGTATCGAGTGGGCGTCCGTGTACGTGTTTATCGAATGATTACCGTAAGAATGTCTGAATCATGCAGCTGATGAGAGTAACGCGATCGAGGACGTAAATTGGCTTGCATCGAATCGTTTTTCAGTATCGACATTCACCTGATCTTTAAAAAATCTTACAACCAGTCAGTGATGGATCGTCGGGTATTAGAAACCTGTCTCGTCGATCGTTGGCAGTTACGATCCATATGAATTTCACTTGCGGTTTTAACGAGCGCGACGAATTTCACCGGCTTTAATTACCCTTTAAGAGAACGCTCACGAGCTAGTCTTAATAACGACTATCAGATGCAGATATCGCGAGAGCGATCTCGCGATCCGCCGGAGCCGCGTTAACCGGAAGAATAATTGGTCCCGGTGGTTCCGGGATAACCAGCCGAATTACACGCCAGTGTACACAAAAGCAAAAACGTGTTCCGCAGGAGAAACAGGATAAACGGAACGGTGACCGATCACGGTATGTCATTAAGCGATGCCGGTGGATTCGGAATGTCAGGTAAATGATGCGTATCGCGTAAATAATAGGTGTCGTGGCTGACGGTACGTCCAGTAGAGCGGATGACGCGTAGACGAGGACGAAGAAACGTGAAACGCGGCGACGCGGCACGGCGCGGCGTGGCGCGGCGCGGCGAGGCGGGGTGGGCGTACAACGGGAGAGAAGAGGATCCTAAAAAGAGAAAAATTTCGTACATGTGTGAACAGTGTGACCTAACCGGACGGCGGTGTCCCCCTGAACGTAAACTCGGTCGATTCACGCGGCGGTGCTTAGAGGAGTCTGTTCGGCGTGGAAGGAGCGAGGCGGACCGGAGAGAACACGAGACCGAAGAGGAAACCAGGGGAGAGACGGGGGGAGACAGAGGAGAAAGAAAGAAAGAAAGAAAGAGGCAGAGAGAGAAAGAGAGATGCAGCAGGCTCGTACCAGGTGCCCATACCATCGCGTCACCATGCCGGAATAACGGTGCCTGGATGTCTCATCGGGTTCAATCGCAATCGGCAATCTTCTGCCGCGGAATTTCGCAAGGAAACGACCGTTTTGTCGTCGTGGTAGTCTCCGTCGATTTACGAGCGGCCGCTATTCGTTCGCCCTTGAGTACCGATCGACCCAATGGCCCCCTAGACGTGTCGTTTGATCCGCTGATGCGTGTCTTACGGACTCGTTTCTAATAAAGCCACCGGTGCACGCGTGCCTCGATCCACTTTGATTGCCTCGACCGATCGCGAGACACACGTATTACGGAGCGAGCGAGCGCGCGCGCGCGCGGCTGGGTTCGCTCGGTTTCACCGTGCCCCGAGACCTCTCCGCGGCCGGATGAATCGTAATCATTGAAAACGAGTGTCCTTTGAGGAAAGTAAGACCCCGTTCTTGAAATTCTGCCGGGGATGGAGGAAGGTCGCGCACTTACCGCCGCGGCGGACGCTTGAAAATTCCATGCCACTCGGGGGGACCCTTCTTTTCCGCGGACCTTTATCGACCGATCCTTTTACGTTCGTTATACGGCGGGTCTAATGGCGGGATTTAAAAGAATCGACTGGAGTTGTAACCCTGGAATCGTTTTCAATGAAACGATCCCGGCCAGCTCCGCGGAAGTTTAAGCGCGCATAATAACTGTA